ACTATCCCTCAATCCCAAGCTAGTTAGAATTGGCTATATGAATCTGTTGTACCCATGCTGCTTTCTTTAGGCCCATTCAGAAGATTGTCAAGAAATGTCCGCCTAACTGTTAAAAATGAATGAACGGATACAAATACATTACTTCCATAAGAGTCACCAAGACAACTAAATTTCCACATAATGGTTAAAAAAATAGATAAGCAATCACTGTTATGTTCTGTAGAAAAATGTATTAGGAGGGACAGTATACACATTATAATTCAGGAAAGCAGGTGCTGAATTGGATAACTACTTTAAAAAAGAAATTGTGCAAACAGATAAAATACCACCCAATAACTACACTTCAATCTCAAGTTAGTTGGGGTCAACGATATGATCAATATATCCCCTCTATGCTTTGAAACATTCACAGTCAAACAACATTGGAGAAAATTCATTCAAGATTAACATACATAAATAACAACCAAATTCAAGACTGATTTAACGATGTATACTTTGGGGAATAATTGGTTTTGCTCCTTTTTTTCCTGGTGAATATATTTCATCTAAAAAAGCTAAAAGAAAATGTTACCAGTCAGAAGCCACAAAGGAGATAAACTATGTCAAGTGGGAAAATGGAAGGTGGTTAATACCTTTTGAGCCATTAGATATGGCCGCTGATTACGCCAATGTGGTACTGAGAACCTTTGCTCCTTGAAAAGCCACAAGAACTACAAATAACAAAAATGACCCAAAAGAACAAACAATAATTTCATAGGTTAATACACTATGATAGAGATATATCAGAGGACATCATAAAACAGAATCTCCAAATCATTACCTTGTGCAAATCATCCTTTGTATCTGCTGGATAGAACTTACAATCCTCGGGAAATTCAGAAGACAGGCTAGATGTACAAACCTTCTTTGAATCGTTTTTCTTTTTTAACTCACTGGGTAGATCCTAAAACACAGAAAAAGACATGTTCAAGTGTCAACTCCTTAATTATCTACCATTCTCAAGAATATGACAAAAGCACTTCCTTCCAGAGAAGTATCTTTAATTCTTACACGAATCAGTACTGCTGTACTAGGAAGACCAAGAGCTCTAAAGATCGAAAGGCAGTGAGATCCAAATGCATCTATATAACAATCTTCTTCATTAGAGGAACTTGCAGATGTGACAAAAGCAATCAGATCAGCAACCTACAAATGCCAAAGCTTCTAACTAAATCATCCTTGATACAAAGAACGTAAGAGCAACCAAAACCTGGAAATACTTCAGGGCATATATCATACCTTGGCCATCTCCATACATGCCAAGAGATCACCATGAGGTGCTTTTAAAACCTAGATAAAATAACTTACTGTTAAACTTCTGCAGAACTTTCTGTGAAGAACGTACAAGTCAAAGCAAGGAAAACTACTCAATTATCAATAACTGACAAACAATTTACTGTATGCTGCTTCTGGCATCAGATTTGACACCAAAAAAATTGTGATATGAAAAATTCATAAGAGTAAATAAGATTTTCTCTGGCATTTTGGTATGGCAAACACATACCTGAACCTAGCATCCTCTTACTCATACTCTTAAGTGCAGTCAAAGCTCCTCCTATCCTATAATGTACTATTAAAGCTTATAGTCCCATAAATGACTTCCCTATCTTGCTGAAGTTCTATTATAGATTAGAAAAAGAAACTCACATTTTGCTTTTCGAACTCTGTATTTCAGAATCTTCTTAATACTATTCAGTGATGTGTTTTACTTATTGAAAGAAAAATCGGACATATTACTTTACCATCCTGAAGTTAATCAAGTGTCTGAAGTCAGTTGATTACCAAGGTTAAGGCATAAGTCCTCTAAACATTATTGATTTATTGATTGTACTTGACAAAACTATGTTTGCAGAGATGCAAAAGCTTCTGTTTCTGTTTACTCATTATATGATACTTTCACCAAAATTAGAACCTGAGACCAATTCAATAATGCAAGTATAGTACTTAATTGATAAAGGGAGTTCCCACAATGCACTCCTACCGTTGCTCTCAACTTATATTCTGAGGAAGCAACTGCTGGATACACAACAACAGTTCCATCTGCGGACAATAGCTTCAGGAGATCTTGTTCAAGCGCACTAAGGTCGACTGATCGGGATAGGCCAAACAGAACCTGTCACATAAAAAATTGTCAGGAACTGATGCGTGATAACAGATATCTTCCTTCTCCTTCACTCCAGCTGATCATGGAGTCGGATTACTTATAATAACTGCTTTAACATCAATTCAAGATTACTAATTAAATCTTTTCATTCAACAATCCAAAAAAGTTTTCCATTGATGACTTGATCTTTTAATTTTTTTTCCAATTTGAAATTATTTGTAGTTGTTCTTAGTTAAATGTATGGAAATAGACCAAATCCTAAGAAAATTTGAAAAATTAAGCAAAGAAAAAACTTTTCTTATTTTATTCTTCATGTCCAACATTATGTCCGGGATCATTATATAGGAATCCAAAAATGAAGAGAGAAACAATAAAAACAAAGAAGAATACTTACAATAACTCTGGGCGGACTATTTGATCCAGATGAAGCTCTTTTCTCTTTCAAAAGAGCATCTCTTTTCTGCTCCCTCATCTACAAAATTGCATTTTTTTAGCATATAACAATAAGTAGTTTGGTTGACAAAATTATCCTGGCATTATAGTCGTGCAATCACAAATACTGGACTAATTTAACCCACCTCATAACCAGGATATTTCACCTTATCCACATACCACACTACACGATAACTCAATAAAACAGAATGCAGTACTTTTTCTTACTTCTACAACTAAAAAATCAATCCCAAACTAGTTAAGAGTCAGCTAAACATAAAAAATTGATACCAAAAATTTACCATCTTATTACGCTGAAGCCGAGCTGCCCGAGCTCCCTTAGTGAGATTGCGATCAGGTTTCGCAATTCTACTCTTATCTAAACGTAACCAAAAAGACAATCAATACATAAATTAAGCAAAATAACACAATTAATAGAAAAAAAAATTGAACCTTTTGAAGAAACTTTATGAACATTGCGAGATGACTTTGAAGCAAATCGAGTTTTGTGAGCTTTATTTACTTGAGCTCGAGCACCTCCCATCTTCTCTACGATTGAGTAAACAGCAATCAATTTTTCTTCTAACAATAAACCCTAGCAGCCCATCAGCTAAAAAGCCAGCAATCAGTACAATAGGGTTTAAGGATTTTTATTTTTTTAATCCAAATTGTTTTGATATATATATGTATGTATTTTGGGTAAATTACTATTTCATCCCATATAGTTTTATAATGTTACAATTTTCTCCTTTAAGTTTAAAAAATCTACAGATGCACCCTTTACTTTTCCAAAAGTAGGGCCAGTTTAGTACTCCTATTATCAAATAAAAAAAAGGTAAATCTTATAAAAGAAAAGCTTAGAATAGTTTTCTGTTGTGCAAAATTAAAATACGTTTAGATAGTATATTCACTAGTGTCAATGATTGAATACATATTATCCGTTCTTCTACAGTATACTTTTGTTATCTTTTTTTACGGACTAAATATATCAAATTTTTCATAGACTTGTTCGTAAAATTCGCTTTAGCATCATAACTTTATGGATATTTAAATATTTCCTAAAATAACTTTTAAATGAATTAAATACCACCTTACACATACAATACTAGTTTCATAATAGGAAAGTGATGTACACTCGTGCCACCTCGACACATATATAACACATCCGATTATGAACAAATTTAATTTCATTTCTTTTTTTCTTTTCCATATCTTTTTTTTATTCCCATTTTCATTTTTTGACTTCATCTTCTTCATTGTATCATATTTTTCATTATCTCAATAATCAATACAATACAATACAAAGTAATTGTTACCCTTCACAAAAATTCAACATCCACAACATAGTTTTTAATAATTTAATAAACATTGTGTGAAATGGTGAAATGACTATACAGCGGCTAGTGCTGTAACGATAATATTAAAAAAAATTATAATCATCGTTGGAGCTGGGTTTGTTGGTGCTACTCTTGCTCATGCTAAAAAAATATTTAAAAAATTATAATCATCGTTGGAGCTGGGTTTGTTGGTGATACTCTTAGCAAATTTTATTTTCAATTTCATTTTTTGTTGTTAACTTACCATTTCTCCACATTTTTATTTGCAAGTTTTTGAAAGTTAAATCTTAACAACCATGCTTGCTCTAATGACAACCAACAACTACTTCGATGCCAATCGCCGGAGTAATTGTTGTTATATTAGGCTCAGAATTGACAAATCTGATGACGAGTCGCCTGGAAAAAAAAAAGATAGCAAATAAAAAGAAAAAGAGAAGAATGGAAGAAAGCCATAAAAGGGTATGGCTTTGTCCATAGTTTGGTGAAATTTTTTAGCAAGATTTGGTGGTCTCACGGCGGTTGATCTCTCGCAATAGCTTTCGATGATAGGGGTTGGGGTGAAGTTTGGTGATGGAAACTGGAATCAAAGAGGAATGCTAAAAGATTTAGAAAGGAAAGCAGAGATGGTACATGTTGCCGAAAGAAGACAAAAAGTGGAAACCACTTATCTTTTCTTTTTCATTTTATGCTATTTACGCGCTTAATAATTTTGTATTTGTCACGTCAGCCTTTACAGTATTAAAGTAAGTTTTGGAGAGAAGTTCGAGGTGGATTTTATATATTTTCACTTTTTTATAAGAAAATACATTCATGTTCTTATGATACAACATGATTAATTAAGTTTATTTGCACATTCAACATTTATATTTTGCAAACGGTATAATTTCACCTAGTTTTTTGTTTTGATATCATAAGTCATGATATGTCATAAATTTCTCAATTGATTTTGATCGAGATGTCCAAAATTGATGACTACATCCAATATGTATTCCACATCTATGTCATCATATTGTAACACCGAAGGACGCCCGAGTTTAATCATAAAAGGCATCTTAGGTTCAAGATGAAACAAGAAAAAACTCATAGGACATGACAAAAATCTATATTATCTATCCACACTCTCAACCAAACAATGTTAACAATTCAACATCAACAAGAGCCTTTCTAAGCTCTAGCATTCTATATAGAATCAAAGGGAAAAAGAAATTAGGTAATAAATTACACAGCTAAAGAATATTTTGGCATGCCCTTTTTTTCACCTTCTAGCTCTCTCAAAACTGTCTAGCTAAATCTCAAGGGCAGCAAAGAATACCATCACAGAATCACAAGGACATAGCAGAAACAATTTGCCGGCCGCTCTTTGAGATTCTTGAACAAAACATAAACATCAGAAGTACAGATGATAACAAGAACAATCTAAAGTATGTCCTAATCTCCTGCATTCCCAGCTCGAGCACCTCCATTTTCTTCCCGTACCTACTTTTCCTTTCCATTAAATAACCATTCAGATAATCATCGATAGAGACCCACTTCTCAAAACCGGATCCAGTTGCATTTGGATGAAGTTCCTCAATCTGGACTCCACCCAAACTGAACAGCGTAAAAAATGCAGCAGACCAGTCGTTGAGAACTCTCTGCAATTCAAAGTGAATATGGCTGAGTGTTTGACATGACAAGACACATAGCAAAGATAATGCATCATCTACGAAATGTCCCCTTCATGCATTTTGAGTGAAGGTGTTTGATTGTGTATGGAGTTGAAGAATTTTGTGGCTACAAAATCATGTTATTAAGGGTAAAGTGCGAAATTTAAAGTTAAATTGTTTCAATCATCCTTTTTCGAAACAGACTAAAAAGGAAAGAGTATTACATAAAATGGAACAGAGGGTATAACTTACATTAAAAGTAGTGATGTCAGTGGGATTGAACATCTTAAAGCAGTCCTTTGACGAGGCCGTGCTATCACCATAGATCTGCCAACCAATAGATGCATGCATCATGTATACATTATCGGACATTGCATTATCACTAAAAAGATGCTTGACATTGAGCAAGGACTTTACTGTATATTGATTGATAAAATGCAAAGACAAACCTCGAAGGTGAAAGACATGGGCACTCTTGCAATATCATACATGTAATCAGTTGCTGTCCCGTGAGCTAGATACCTGAATAAGTGACGTAATGTTATACTTGAGGTAACGAAAACTTACATCTAAAACTACATAATAAAGAAATGGTGACCCTAATATCTACTTCAAACAGAGGAAGGCATCAGATGTGCATGTTTTTCATGCCTAACACTGTGATGTGACTTTATCATTATTCTTTTATCCATAAGTGGCTTAACATGCAGTAATAGAAAATACATTCACTGCTAGATAAACAACAAGCATATTGCATATATCTAACAGGAATACACTTATGTTCCCTTCTCAAGCCAAGTAGCTAAACATAAAAGTGATGAGTAAGTGATACCAACCCGACAGAGCCTCCGCCAGATCCAACCAAGCAACGATCATTCAGCTGAAAACGATTCAACTTTTCAAGCATTAATCTCATCCTCTGAGAAGGTAATCCTTCCGGAGTCGTGTTCTTGTGATCATATGGCATAAATAGAGCCTGAAAAAAATTACATGAACAGCACAGAATAAGTATTTCATTCACAAAGAAACTAAAATGGATTATTATTCTTTATAAAAAAATGAAGAAGATAATCTCTGTGATCCTGAAATTTGATCCTTAATATACCAAAAACAGTAAAACGTCATAAACATGAAGAAGACAATTTACACCTGACATACATCTATTTGGTTCACTTTGACCAGTTAATTTATGGAAGTAGATACACACAAATTTTCAAATGAAAAGATGGTTAAATTTGATCATCCTATTGTAGTTTGAATTCATGATTTTACCTAAACAAGATGGGGAGATCAGGCACAAGCTATAATCTATTAAAAGGAGCTGCACCTTGCAAAATGTCTAGGAGAGTCCTACAAGGTCGTAGGACTCCTCTATGCCCTAAATTTTAAAAAGAGTTATGGGGAAAGCTTGTAAATGGTATGTTTTATATATGCAGAGAAGTTCAGAAGACAAACAGCAGCAAGACATACTAACAAAAGTATACTTGCCTCCATTCCAGAATGCACGTTAACCCATACATGTGGTTCAAATGATGCACATATTTTCCGCATAATTTGTGTCTCGGGCTCACTAAAAGGGGCGGACCCAGGATTTTCTTCATATGGATCATAATCCTGAAAAGTAAAGATCAAAGGGACAAGAGTTGTATAAGCACATAGCTGCATCAGCTTGAACTAGTAAACACAAACAGCATATACACAAGATCCAGTAAAGCAATCCTAATTTGGTACTAAGTGCAAATATTACTTAAGCACCACAAGATGCATAAGTAACAACCTATATAAAAGGAACACAACCTGTCCATACATCAGTAAAGAAGACACACATGATCGAAACACAATGAATCGTCTACTAATGGCAGTCTAAAGAATAAACCTTCTCTTTCTTGCCCCAATCCACACTCCAATTCCGATTAAGATCAACTCCTCTTCCTGCCAAAAAAAAGGGTTGGAAATAATTTTCTTGGTACTTCCCTATAGAGTCAATTTCTGTGATCAGACTAGCAAGATAAATAGCTATACCATTTCTTCTTTCACAGAGATCCCCTGCTTCTACAAGTTTACGCCCATTCACATTCTCCATTGGAACAACCTGTTAGACGGATTAAAAAGCATTCCCCAGTAACATTAGTTTAAAAGAGAATTTGGATACTCTTTAAAGTGATAAAGATCTTTGTTTCTTTAACTATTTACAGCCCATGGCATACAGTGAACTAATTAATTGGGTGAATTTTGAATTTCTATACCAGCAGGACCTGATAGATTTAAAAAGCAAACAGTGACTAAAACGAATTTACTGAGCTGAATGAACAACCTGCAGCTAGAAAACAACTTGAAAGATGTTTACTGATGTCTGACAAAACAGAGAAATCAATACGCTAAATTTGAGACAGCGAGCTCTCTCTATGAGAGCTGTGTGAAAGGTTAATCTGTCTCTGCCAAAAAAAATGTTTTGCATTGTGCAGGGAAATCTTCAGAAAATGGCTAATTTAGAATCTCCTAGACAAACTGCTTCAGTACATTGGAGGATGGGATAACAAAATCACACCAACATCAGCAGGTGTGGACAATGGAAGAACCTTAAAATAAAAGAAGTTCTGCAGGATATTTTTGAAGGGTACTAAAAGAGCTGAGGAACTAAACATTTGAAGAGGGGATGAATGTAAATATAGATCCTGTTCAATTAGGAGTGGTTAAAATTTTTCTGATTCAACAACTTATAGATTCATAAAACATATACATGAATTATTTTCACCTTATTTGACTGTGAGTTCCAAATAGACTAGGAGTTACCTTTATGACAAGCCTATCAAGCGTGTTATTTAAATTAAGTGGGTATGCACTGGATAAGAATTCCTCTTCACTTAAAATGGAAAGAATCCGCAACGCAAGCTCCGTAGTTATGAGCTCCCTCCCATGCTGCCCAAAACTCTGGAACACAAGCAATTTATCTGTCAAAAACACCAGCAATGACCAATCTGAGATTTTCTAACACTAAAGACCAAATCAGTATAATGTCTGGAAAAGCATTTTCCCAATGTCTTTTCAAAGAAACCACTCTACTTCCCCTCCTCTCTCCTTTTTCCTCGTGAGTTAACTATCTTAACTAGGAAACCCTGGGAAGGTAATACAACATATATTTCCATTCTACAGGACATGAATAAAGGTAATAACGGACCAAAGAAAGTAAACTTACAAGAAGGATCTTAAGCTTTGACCTGTCATCGCAGTCTTTCTTGTTCCGGCAATAAGTAACTACAGTCGTCTCTGCATGATACCCTTTGTTTTGAGTGGAAAATGTCTCCATCTGCATAAATATGAATTAAGTTGAGATATTAAGAGAAGATGCATATTTCTGTAGTTCCAATTTTCCCAAAACAAAAATTTAAAAAGGTATGAGATAGGGGAAAACTCACAGAGAGCTTGCTTGGGTGTCTATGGACCAATGATTCTATCTCTTCCAACAAAGCTCCCCTAGAAGACACCATAAATTAATGTTGAAAATCGAAGCACAAATCACCTCATTCCACCTCCCATTTCACAGTAAAAACTAAAGCCGAAAAGCAGTAGAGCGAGTGAGGACCTTTCTTGATCCATAACATATAAAGTTCAGCAATCAAAATTGAGCCTCTCATACAGCCTTAGCACACTAATATCTATAAAGATTCACTTCATCAGTCAAATAAGATGTTAAGCTACTCACATTCATTAACATCACCAATAATTCATTGTGAGCTAGAACCTCCTACCCCAACTTCATTAAGTCCCAAATCAATCTGTTACACTCAATCCTAAATCAGTTCGAGTCGGCCCTATGAATCCTTTATAGTCATTAAATTCCGAAAATACAGAACACTGATGCAAAAAGAAAAGAAGAAAGTTCTCACCTTTCTCAATATAGTTCTATCAAACTTGAATTAATTGCACAACCTTTCCATAAAAGTTCATTTCCACTCTTAAGTAATTCAAATACTAACCTAATTACAACATTCAGTAATCCTAGTTACCACAAATCACTACCCAAATTAGATCACAAATCGAAATTCAAAAAAAGCTCAAATTCTTACCTTGTATGATAGAGATCGTGATTGATGGGAGTAATAGGTATTTGCGTGGAATTCGAATTTCCATTTACAAACGAAGAACACAGAACAATCAACACAACTCCAAACAAGACTAATGGCGAAACGGGTAAAGAATACAAACGCCGGCGACGACGCAACCCCATTTAAATTACAGATAAATACACCAACATCCGGTGATTTTTGTTGTTTGATTCAACCCAAATGTCTTTTTTTTTTCTCGACTATTTCAAATCTTTTTGGTTTCTTTGACAATTCCAAAACTTTAAAAACATAGGAATTGTGAAAGAAAAGATATATGCCGGCAGTGATGGGGAAGAAGACGACAGTGGTCAGGGCGTCGTTGATTTGTAGAGATTCAACGGCTATGATTGCTTGGTCTTTCTTCTCACCATGTTCCCATCATTCATGATCCAATCCACAATCAATTGTCTCTTTCTATTTGCCTCTTTTGGGGCAATTCAGTCAATTGCTATACTCTGCATTATTTTTTGTTGAGATAGAAGTAGAACTCTTTTTTTTTTAACAATTTCACACGTGAACTATTAGGTGATTTGTGTTTCTTTAATTAATAGGCCTAATGTATAAATATGTTTTTAATTTATATGTTTTTATATTTAAATTTGGTATATATAAGTAGACACTCAAATATATGTAGAGTTGAATAAATACACACATATCTTATTTAGTGTCGTATATCAAAAGTTGAAGGTCAATTATCAATTAAGATAAAATAAATAACATATTTATGTATTATGTTAACACGATAATAATAAATTTTCTAACAAGCAAGAAATTTCTAGCTTTAGTTTTTGTTGGAAATCTCCAATACTTCTAATTATCATATTTTACTTTTTGACATGGTCAATTTGACTCATCTTCGAGAAATAAAAATTAAATATATCAACTAAATATTTATAATTAAAAGTTGAATATTCAAAAAATTATAAATGACAATTTTTTCATTTGACAAATATATATATATATATATATATAAAAGTGTGTATATATATATATAAAGTGATTCTTTTACTCAATTATTTGTTAGATTCTTGTCATTTTAATTATCATGGTTATTAGAAATATATAAATAAATAATAACAACAATAACAATATACCCAATGTAATATTGAGATCTGTCGAGTATAGAGTGTACGCGGAGCATACACCTACCCCGAGAGGTAGAGAGGAAGAGGGCTAGGGTCTACTGAAGCAAAAACTAAGAGTTCTTGATTATCTACTAACATGTTCATTTCTTCTTCTTCATCCAAAGTCACCCATGCTTCAATTCCATTATCACACCTATTTGATTCCATAAGTATAATAAGATTCATGAAAAATGAACACTTTGAACTTATACTACTCACCCATATTGGTTTTCCAAATCCAAAATCTATGTCATAAAATCCAAACTTGCACCAACTACTAAAACCATAGTGATTTGCACCTTTTGAACAAAAATCTTCAATCTCCTTAAGAGACTTCCTCATCAAACTACACCCTTCATCGCCTCGTAGCCTTTTAACATAACCATCATCGATCTTCAATATAGATTTCCTCACTTGATTCACCAAATCAGCCAATTCCACATAACGTTTCGCGTTATTATTTTTTGCACTAGATAACCAAATAAGATTACCAAGAATGTTCTCTGGTAATGCTGGTGTTGCTCTTTTTCTCAAGTTCACAATGTGTGTTAGCAATGAATTAGACTTCTTATTAGAAGCTATTAAACATTTCCATATGAAAGATGAGACAACCTCAACTTTAGTAGGATATTTAATATGTGCACTTGTTGACATTCTTTTAAGGTTGTCAATAGCAGAGTCATTAAAAACAAGCCTTTTTGTAACAAAATTTCCTTTCTTGAACATTGAACTCCACATTATCATAGATGTGTCTCTTAACCACAAATCATCAGATGGAAAAAAGTAATTAGCCATTAAATTAGGACATGTTACTAATCCAGACCAATTTTTAAGAAATGTACTAAGTCCTGCTCCATCAAGAACCTTATGTGCTATACATAAACCAATTGCAATTCCACCACATTCAAAAACATTAATTTGAATGTTTGTAACATAATCTCCTACACCTAAGACCTTAAAAGGAGGTTGACAAGGAAGAAATTGACTAATCGATTCGAGGTTTGGTTTGTTTAGGTAATCGATTAGATGACAATTAACATTAGTTGTAACATAATTAACTCCTTGATCATTGCAATCAATAGAGAGTTCATCTCTAAACCTCCCTGCTAGGGGATAAAAGGATGACAAAGTTTGAGCTAGTGATTTCTTTAACAATGATGATTTTTCGCGGAGTTTAACGTCGTTGAGATTGGGATAAAAGAGTACAATTGGTGCATAAGGAGCTGGGATAAGTTGATCTAAGAGACAAAGATTGAATTTTTTGAGGTGTTTTGGTGTTGGAGATGAAGGTTGAATATTTTCTCTTGAAATAACTTGAACTTTCATCATATTTTGGCTTGTGAAAAAGTTGAATAATTGGAAGAGCTTATAAAGATAGTTTTTTTTGTTTTGTTTTGGGAGACAATAGATGCTAATTAGCATCTTTATTAAACTTTGTCATATACATAAATATTGAAAAAGGAATCATTAATTATAGAAATCTTAGAAATTATTAATCTCTAGATATAGCTTTGTTAATGGTCTATGGATAACAATGACACACTGATAATCACAACTATGAAATAAAAATTGAAAAAGCACCATTAATTTCTATGTAAGATTGATCTAATTTGTGTGCCAAAACAAAATCTGAAAAAATAAGTTATTCTAAAATCGTAGATAATATAACACTTTTTTACATAAATCGTGCGGATTGCATCCAAATCGAAATGTACGAAACAACATGACAAATTGCCGCTGCACCATGAGCAAACTGCAGAATCTGCATTAGTCTTACTCTTTGGCAGTATCGTTAGAGTACATTAGAAACTACATTTATTAATTATATCACTAATCCATGAGTGATTAAGAAAGATTTGGTACTTATTATATAAACAACACAAATATTTTTTTTGTGGAAAATTCTATGTTTCTTATTGAAATGGAACTATTATTAATGTTTGATTGAATTCAGTTTTCGTTTTATATAGGTTGGAAAATGATCTTTATCCTCCCTTAGGTGTGATTTTTTTGAGCTCTTTTAATGCGAAATGTTTTATGCATCAAACTGTCTTTTTTAAAATGCTAGTTATTTGTCTCGTCAATACAACTTATGAATACATTTTAATGGTGAATTTGTTATATTATTCAACTTATGAATTCAATAGATAAATATATGTTTTAATTTTGACATTTTTCGTATATGTTCATGTGTTATATTAATTTAAAAATATCATACAAGATTTGATTGAAGAGATAACTATTATTCGAGCTGTGTAGAATATATTTTTAGGTTCAACATTGTCTCTTTTAATTGAAGAGATAGCTATAACATTTACAATATAATTTTGTGGGTATTGAATTATTTTTATATTATGTCTCTAATTGTCTGGAATAATTAAATTATATTTTATAAGATATATTTGTAAGTTATAAACTGAACTTATGTCTACAACATCAGTTGAGTAAAATTTACGCGACATAACTCGTTAAATTGTTTTATATTATGATACGAAAAATATAAGCTTTCATCTCGTAAATTTTTTGTTTTTCAACTTCAAAAGATTTTTAAACTACTTTTTTTTAATTATATTATTATTGTAGGACACAAATTAAAGAACATCAGTTTTTGAGGGCTAAAAGTTAAAGACACCACCCCAAAATGACATATGGGCCGGGTCGCCCTTTTTTGTGCTTCACATTTTAGTTAATTTCACAACAGAAAATTTCCCCTAATTCGAAACCTAGATTTTCCATCTTCCCCTTTAAGAGTGAGCACGGAAATCGGAGAAGTGTAATCGGTGAGTATTACAAATCTCAGTCTGCAATTTTATGTTTCATATACTAAATTTGTAGCACTTCTATTGATCTGTAGATGACCTGTTTACTGTAATGATCTGCTGTTTGCTTTGTCTTCATATGCACATCACTTGTTTGATAAAAATCCCGTTAAATTACATGTATGGTGTAGTCTCTACGAGGTAGGGTTAACGCGTGGGATTACACAGAGGTATGTTACTGTTGTTCTTGTTTACTAGTTAGTTACATGGTGGGAGAACTCTAAATCATTGTAATTTCCTCATGATTATAAACAAGAACTCAACTCCAACGAAATCAAAAAATCAAAAGTAGAGAATGTTAATACAGATAATGATATGGTTTTAAGTTGTAAACATTTATGTGAAAATATTTAAATGTTTATAAGTGATGTGTATAACAACAAAAACATACTAAAAACTAAGTTATAAGTTTAAACTTTAGTTTTATAGGGTTCAACAACATCGCAAAGTTTGAGAGACTCTAATGTTTGACTAACTCAATAAACTAAACAAAAAACTGACTTTGGTTTTTTTCAAATTAGTTTTAAAATTCAGTTTCATTCAAATTAGAGCGATCAACACGATGAATCGAACATGCCATGGCCATCCATTCTACATAATAGTAAGCTTTTGAGAATTATGTATTTACAAATACATAGAAATAGAAATGTCATAATGGGGAAAACAAAACAATTTTGACTGGTAGCAACAGGATATAAATTTAATTTGTTTCAATCCTCCCATATTGTGGTTTGAGAACATGGAAGGTTCACGTTTGTGTTTCTCGATATTGTATTTTCTTTTTCATTACTTTGATTTGTTGTACTTGAGTTGAGGTTCTTTTGGAAATTGTCACGGGGTATGGATAATGTTTACATACACTTATCCTCCGGGGAAAATGTCTCTCAAATTATGTTAAAGCAAATATATAAACTAAATCTGAATAAGATTGACTCAGTACTAAAATACTAGATCTCATGCTAATAATATGATTAAACTTTCAAGGGGATTTAGAAATTCCAGGCCGACACAAGACGTGGGGTGCTCAGGGGATTGAAGCAGTGGACACATTTGAGTAAAGATTTTACATTAAAGAATTGTTAATTGACATATTTGTTATCTCAGCAAGTACGTTGCGGAAGATGTGTTTATCACATGCAATGGGGCTCGGCTTGAATTCACTAGTTTGAAGAAATTTTCGTTCACCTGGGACTCCAAAGTGCTTGCTTTGCGTCCACTTTGGATTTATCTCAGCAATCACATCAGTTGCGGAAATTGCTGAACTGAAAAAAAAGAAGAGCTGCAAGACAATTAAAACGGGATTTGGGTTAATCTTGTATCACCGCCGATTTTGGTTACCCCATCATTCTGATAACAAAACGGGACTCCACTTGGCACCATTACATGTAGAAGTATAACTCTTTTAATTGTATGCTCTCTGAATGGTTTTGGTCTGTGTCATATTCAGTATGCTAAGGTTGTCTATATAGCATAGGCATTGGAAACAAAACTTTTTGTGACAATGAACTTAACATGGTCTATTGATTTTGAATGTTTTAGGTGATTTGGTGTTGGAGATGACGTTTACTTTTTGAATTGACTTGATCTTTCATCATATTTGGGTTCAAATCTCATTAGAGGCATGAAGATGAACATTCTATCGGTGGATGGTCAAATTATACGACCTTTCTCTAAAGAAATTGCATTATTGGATAATAAATTAGTTGATTATTTTAACGAACACTGCCTCTTTAAATATCACAAATCAAACCAACCATTGAATATTTCTGATAAGATATTTAATGAGAAAACTAGCAAGACCGCCGTTTACTTTTTGTTTCTTGGTGTCCAAGAGTAGTAGTAATTGGCTTATATATAGCTGCATCTTGATGTAACACAAAACATATTATCTCTCTTCTTGTGTTCAAAATGATTGAGTTTATTTGTTCAAAATGATGTAGGAAGGAAGCATTCATACCTTTTTCTGGGAAGTATGGCGAACTGGTCGGAATTTCCATTGGAACTACTTGAAATGATAGCAAAGCGTGTTACAGTGATGGAGGATTTCATTAGATTTGGTGTTGTTTGTAAATCATGGGGAAGTGCTGCTACCAAAGAAAATTTTGATGTTTTAGTGCCACAAGTTCCATTGCTTATGCTGGCTGCTAAAGGGGATGATGATTATCGAGAATTCTACTCTCTTTCCAAGAGGAAAATTTCTCGCAGAATTTTCCTCCCAGAAGCTAGAGGGAAACTCTGTTTACCAACACAGGGATGGCTTTTCACGGTGAACTATAGAGCATTTACAGGAGAGATGACTTTGTTGCACCCTTTCTCACGCGTCCAAATTCAGCTTCCTCCGCCTACTGGCTTGAGAGATGAGGAATCAAAACGTCCCTACGTGACTATCAACCATGTTGTATTATCTGCTAGCCCATCCGTAACAACTGACTATGTTCTGATAATTTGCTATGGACGGCCTACATACCGTTTGGCTCTTTGGCGACCTGGAGACCTCTGTTGGACCAAAATTCCTACTCTCGAAGAAACTTATGCATATTACCATATGATCCAATACTTCAATGGACAACTTTATATCAACAAAGGGCGGTGGCTAGTTTCAGCTATTGACATCCCAGAGCCTAGTAATCCTCAGCCTATTGTAAAACAACGAGAGGTTGTTCAGATGGTGGGTTTATCGAATCACACAAACCAGTCCGCTCACTTTCTCATTGAAGTGTCAGGTGAACTATTATTTGTTCAACAATTGATGATTGTGAAAGATGTAGCAAATGTGTCGAAGACATATAAATTTCGACTATTCAAAATAGATGCAATCAAAGGAGAAGCAGAAGAGATAAAAAGCTTGGGAGACAAAGCAATTTATGTGGGATGTAATGCATCAATTGCCATAGACTGTTCCAAGTTCGTTGGAGTGAAACCTAATCATATATATTTTACCTATGATTGGACACGTGTGTACACCGAAGGAGATGATTCAAGAGAGATAGGGGCTTACAATGTCGAAGATGAAACCATTGAACCCTTGAATCAAGGCATTTCTGGTTTTAATATTGTATCCCCGGCGATTTGGGTTACCCCATCATTCTGATATCAAAATGCGTTGTGAGCTTTCTCTGAATTGTTTTGGTTTTGTGTGTCTTTTATATGTTGTTTGATGCAAAAAACAGTTTGTTGATCTCATGTGATCAATTCTTGGTGGTACAAGTTGATTTGGACACCAAATATTACGAAATAGATTAGACGTTTTCACTTCTATTGCATTTGACATTAACTGTTTCTGTATTTTTTTTATATTTCTTTATCCACAACTTTTTCTTATATAAACGAATCTAAATTTGATTTGTGCATGCACAAATTAACAAACAGTAATGTTTACTATTATCTTGAAAAAAAAATCACAGAGTATGTTTTCTGCTTTATTTGGTTACTACAATTGCATCATTTCAGCTTCCCTTTCGTTGGGATGAATGATGAAACTGACTCGATAGAAAAGTGTTAAGAGTTTCAAACAACACAGGGAGGATTAATTAATGTTCATGGCAATGCGTACATTACTACATATCAAACACTTGTAATTTTAACAGTACTATGAAAATTAAACATAGAGGACTTTAAAATATAAAGTTGTCAACTAAACTGTCAAAATTAGTCTGAAAACTTATGGAGGAAAAGCCAATCCATAGTTCAAGTAAAGCTCATGCACATGTAATCTCGATAGTCTTGAAACTAATTAATTATAATGGCAAACGATTACGATGAAATGCAAAACAAACATGTAAGAGGTAGAATCAACAAGACTAAAGTATATCCGCATCAGGGATTTAAATCATCATACAAGCACAAACACGACGCGAGTTATCTTTAGTCAATATCAAAACATGATTCCATAATTAAGAGCAGCTCAAATCAATAAAGTTTTACCTAAAGAAAGAGATGGATAATCCAGGAAAAATAGAGCTGAGCAGATGAGCAAATCAATGACCAAATATACTTGAAAGCTTTCAAACTATTTTAAATCGAAAGCTAGAGAACAACTGGATGTATAGATTCATTCATATTGGTTAATAACACGGAATGAACCATTTTTCACATTAATAGCTAAATATCATGGACGATGAGCAACTAACCAAACGGAAAATAGAGGGAGGGGTAGTACCTTTTTCCGGCCAGCCAAATCTCCGGAAAGTTTTAGTTAGTAAGTAATAATTGTGCTCCAAAATGCCTTAGTCCTCCTCTCCTTAAATAGACTGATTTCTGAGGGGGGAAACGGCTAGATTTTTGAATTGCAATGCCCTTTTCGAGACAACAGTGAAAGGGGGAAATTGTTGCAGGTGTACGAATGTGCCGTTTGGAGACGTTCGTCTTCAACGGCTGGATTTGGGCGAAAAGGAAGTGGGCCGGGTCGTCGAGTATCGCTGTTGTACGCTGATGTTATTTCAATTGGGCCTGGGTAATTATTTGTTGAAGAATCAATGGGCTGCTGGGAATAAGAATTTGGCCCAAATTTTCTCTAGGAAATTGATCCAACAAGTTGCCAATTTGAAGGCAACTAAAGATGGATAAATTACTTAAATACACACTTTTATTTTTTATAATTTTCATTATTCCCTACTATTTTAAAATATCTCCAAAATCCCTTATTTTCCTTTCAAATCCCATTGTTCTAGATACGTTTCACATTCAAGCACACGTTTCTATTCCTAATTTCACTCCCTTAATCCCTCCCTATTTCACTCCCTTTAACCTCTTCCTATTTTCACTCCCTCAATCTTTACTTCTTTTATTTTTTAATTTTCAGATTTATTCTCTCTCCATAAGATTTTTCAAGAATCAAGTAAGTTTTCGTTTCACAATTTTTTTCGAAGAACTATCAGATCTCCTCCATTTCCACATTTTTACAAAATATATAAGGAAAAAGTGAAAGAGATGATGTATCCTCATTGCTCCTTGCAACATCATCGTTTCCAGTGACGTCTTTTGTTGATGAAGTCATTTTCCATTGTTGACAGTGAGACAAAGATACAGAAGTTGGTATAGAGCAAAGTAAAAGTGTAGGGGGATTTCTTGGTCATTTGTATTGTTGATTTATTTTTTTGTACTTCATCCTTTATAATACATATGATTTCATATTTAATATATCTAGTTGATTTTGTTTCTTAAACTAATGTATAATGCCTTCGTTGATTTTCAATGTAACTCGTTGTTTAATCGATGTACTGATACATGTATTAGATATGTACCAAATGTTATAACGTTTAGTCAATGCACTGATACATGTAGTATATATGTATCACATGTTTTTCATGTAGTATGAATTTTCTGAAAACTGATATCATGTATCAGTAAGGTATTAGTTGTTTAGTTGATGTATTGATACATGTTTTGAAAATTGTTATAATGTATCATTCACTAAGTTTAATAACTGTGTTTGATGATACATATAGAATCAGTGTGTATAGTGTTTTGTCGATGTACTGATACATGTATTAGATATGTACCACATGTTATAATGTTTAGTCAATGCACTGATACATGTAGTAGATATGTATCAACAACGATAGAAAACGAAATTGAATCTCCAACAACGATTCCGTCGATTTTGTAACTTTCATACTGCAATTCGTTCACCCAATTCCGAAATGTCTCATCAAAATTGAAGTATTCATCTTGAAAAATCCACAGTAACAACAATAAAATTATTGTAGTTCGAAATTTAACAGATTGTTCATAAAAAATGTATTCAAACTAGATGATATAATCTTTGATTTTTAAAATTTGAAATTAATATCCAATTACGTACTAGATGATATAATCTTTGATTTTTAAAATTTGAAATTAATATCCAATTACGTGCTGAATTTATGCTGATTAATGATCTATTACCGTAAAATAAGTTGTTTTAGTAACAACATTAAATTTACCATTTTTTCTTCATTTTTTTCTCAACAGTTTAAACTTACCATGTATCATTTACCATGTATCACTAGAGTCTAAAGTATCACGGCACAACAAATTTAAGTGATTTTCTGTAAATACTAAATTTATCGGGACAGAGTGTAATTATTGAATTACACTATGGGATTCCTTAAATTTTTACTTTGACATTGAATAGTCAAACTCCCGTGTTATAGTTGACTCTTGTAATTGAACGTGCTATTAGTATGAGTAATCTACTTAGTTAATCTTCAATTTAAAAGTCATTAACGAAAAATTCTTTAGTTGCTATTAATTAACACTGTTTGATAGAAATGCAGCAAAATTCAAATGCTGGATTTTTGACGAACTGTTTGTATAATTTCTTATTTTTCTTCTATGATTTTCACAAGATTTTTATTATATTAAAAAATAATCTAAATTTGATTTATTTACCTGTATAAATTAACAAAAGGCAATGATGGCATTGAATGCACGCCCCTAACTAAAACAAATGTGACGATGACATCAAATGCATGCCCTCGTTTGGTAGCCGGATGACAAACAAGTTATTTACGTATTAATTATTGTATACTTTATAAGACGTCTGATAGATATACAAAAAATAAATTATTTATGTATAAATGAATAACTAATATATGTATAACTTTTATATGAATAACTAATCCAAGTATAAAAAATAATACGTAAATTTTCTTACATTCTAATAACTTATTTAATTCTAATCAACTAGCTAAAGACCCTAAAAGTTTAACTTGTTTCTTGAATTATTAAGGCATTTTGGTGTTAAAATTTTATCATATTACATAGGATCTTATTTATAAAAATTATATATATAAGTATGTTATTTATATTTAACTATAGCCGAAAAAAACGTACATCAACTTTGAAATCACAATTGACATCAATCTTTTTCTTTAAATATCAGACGATTTGTGTCCGTCCGATCGTTGAATTTGACCGTTGGAGCGCTTCTCCCTACTTTAGGGCCAAATTCAAACTCATCTAAAAAAGGACAAAAATTGACAACAATAAACTATTGCCGTAGAAGAACGCTCAAAGCACTAAGCCAAAAAAAAAACACAATTTTTTTCTCCTCTTTCATAATTTTCCGCCGCTTATTGAATCTTGAGTTCTGATTTGGTTTTCATGTCCAAGATGATGATGAGATCTAGCCGTAAACCCCCACTTCCTACTAGATCTCCTGTTGGAATTCGGAATCGTCGTGTTCTTCAATCTACTCCAAACCTCATTCGAACCCCACCAGGTATTTTGTATAATTAGTAGTAATACTGTGTATAGAGCTGGAAAGACTAAATTTTTGAGACCCCCTTTGCTTTGTTCGAGTTTTGTGCGTGTTGGAATGAAGAGAAATGGGTGTTGACTGTTGAATTTTGTATGATTAGTACTGTATTTAGAATTGGTAGACCAAAAGTTGAGACCCCGTTTGCTTTTTGAGTTTTTTTGTGTATTGGAATGAAGAGAAATGGGTGTTGACTGTTGAGTTTTGTATGATTAGTATTGTAGTTAGAGCTGGAAGACGAAAAAATTGAGCCTTTTTTTTTTTTGAGTTCTGTCTGTATTGGAATGAAGAGAAATGGGTGTTAACTATTGAGCTTTGTATAAGTACTGTATTTAGAGTTGGAAGGCAAATTTGAGACCCCTTTTATATTTTGTATGTATTGGGATGAAGAGAAACGAGTGACCGAGTTGGTTGAGCCTGGGATTTCCCTTAGGGTCCTGGGTTCCATATCACCTGTATGTGTTTCTAGGTCGAGCTTGTCACGCGGGGCTTTTGTTGCCTATTGCGGTTTATATTTCCTTTGTTGTTTGCGCACTAACAAAAGGGTAACAGCTGTGGTTCCCTTGTTATGAAAACAAAATGGGTGTTTGAGATTTGTTATATACCTGATTTAGGCTTAGTTGTTGTTATTGTGTTGTTCTTCTTTTCAGGTTTTTGAATATAATCAAGGAACAAGTGGATAGTTTTGAAAGAATTAGCTTAATTTTGAATTTAAACAGGGACAAACATCCATGCTTCGTATAGTAGTTGAAACTATTTGCAAAGTTTGAGAGCCCCCCTTAATCATCTCAATTTTGATGGTCTCTCTTTTTTTGGGCTAAATTTTAGATTGTATGCAGATTCTTTGAAAACTCAGTTGCCTAAGAGGGTTAGCAGCAGTGTTGAAGAATGGGAACTTCGTCCAGAGTACCATACCATTTCTTGTGAATTAAGGGCTTTGTCCAAAATGGTGCAGAACAAATTTGGTAACGAGGATGTGAATGCTGCTGATAACTCTGATTCATTGAATGCAAAGAGAAGTCCTTTATTCGAAAGGGGCAAGTTTTATGAAGAGTACTCTGCTAGAAGGAATGAGAGATTGAAGAGGAAGAAGGGTGGTGACACTGTGGATGAGAAGAAACCAGTGTATGATTTGGGAGTTAGAGTTGAATCTTCCAAGAAAAAAGGAGAGCCTAAGATGTTCCAAAGCGCTAGGAAATCAGTTGTTGCTTCTACACCAATAGCAGAGAGGAGAGAAACTTCAAGGTATTTCTTGAGAAGCACAGCTAGTAAGGAGAACAGGAAGCCTCCTTTACCAATCAGCATGGACAAATCTGTGGGGTTATCAGAGAGGAGAACTACAGCCAGAAGAGTTCGGAAAATTTGAGTTGGAATGATTTCCCCCCTTATAGACGTTTGTTGAACAAAAAAGTAAGAAGTAGTAGTTTTTGGATGATTTGGATGGCAAATGTAGTTAGTTATGTCACAAAATTTTCAGATTAGGGTGTTTGATGTTTGAAGTACAACGAAGAGGCTATGTAGCTGATAGCTTCAGTTCACTTTCATGGCTGATTGTAATATGAATTTTCTTTTTTGCATTGCTTATCGTTAAGTTTATTGTGCATGTATTGATGCAATCTTTACATTGCAGAACCAAGATAAGTCTATTGAACTACTTGCATTGAGAGTTGTGTCCTGCTTATTTTCAATCACTCCATCTCCATATGTAATTAGTCCTATTGATCCAAATTATTTGGTGTTGTGATATAGTTCTACAAAAGGAAGAAGCTTATTGTTGTAGCAAGTATAGACGGGAAGGACAGAAGAACAAAGAAAAATGAGAAGCCGCACCAATCTTAACAAAATTTACCAATATATTCAGCTTGAACTCAATATAAATATGTGCAACTTCAGGATACCTGATTTCCCTCACTAGTTCAGCCAGAAGTAGACATTTATATAAGCTGGAAAATGCAAGTTAATATTCACAGATAACTTGAACAAGTGTATTATCCAAAAATGGAAAGCATCATCCACAAAATAAACCAAAGTAGCATTGGAAATTACTTCAGCAACACTCTTTCCAATACATAATAGCTCATTCATCAAAGTTTTGGTTACATCAGCTGAAGCAAAAAGA